TTAGAGTTCAAACCTCAAGGACCCACTATAGGAATTCAACCTCCAACATCCCATTTGAGCAATTAAGGTTCCAACAACAAATCTAAACCGATTAAACATCCAATTTAACCCTCCTTAACATAACCCAAAGCACAAAACTCAGAATCAACCTCTACATTATCATCCTCAATCACAAACCTCCCATTTCCATAAACCCTAGCTCTAAAAAAGATTCTTTAAATCCAAGGAAACTACACCGATTAAATACTTAAACTAACCCAAAGCAATCAATTAAACTCAAAACAATCGGTCAAACTACACCGATTAAATACTTAAACTAACCCAAAGCAATCAAGAAGATAGAACTCAAAACAATCGGAAAGAAACCTCAGTTCCAACACAACCTAGAAAATCCTAGGGTTTCACCATAAATCCTTATAAATTCCAATCAAGAAGATAGATTAGAGGTTAAAATTACTTACTTGAGGTAATGGATCCTTAGAAATGCCCCCTCCAAGCCAAAATACCGAAACCCTAGCAGAGCCTCTCTCTCTACCTCAGGTTTTTATTTTTCGCACGCTGAACTACTCCCGCGAATATATAGATTCACGACCTTTCGCCGCGGCGAACTAATCCCGAGAGGGATTACTCGCCTGAAAACTTGACTTCACCGCGGCGAACCCCAATCTTCGCCGCGGCGAAAGCTTCCCGAGAGGAAACTCTCGCTCGCCCAAAAAACATTCGCCGCGGCATACCCCTACCTTCGCCGCGGCGAAACCTTCCCGAAAGGGAAGCCTCGTTCACCAGAGTAACTTCGCCGCGGCGTCCCCATGACTTCGCCGCGGCCAAACCTTCCCGAGAAGACACTCCCCTCTGAAACTCCTGGTGCGCCGCGGCGAAGTTTACTTCGCCGTGGCGAACATACCCTGAGAGGGGTACGTTCACCTATTCCTCCAACAAACCTCAAATCCAACCCAAACACCAAGATCAAGATTAAATCACTAATCTATCCTCAAAATCAACCCAAAAGAGGCTATTAAAACCCGATAAAACTCAGGATGTTACATTTTACATGAGTTACATTTAGTTTTACATTTTGAAAAGTACATTATTAATGTCTATATCTTTGTCTTCTTGGGTTTGGATGCCAATATAAAAATATATATATATATAAAGAGAATATAAAAGAAGAAAAAGAAGTGGAAAAAGGCAATAAAGAGAAGAAAATATGTAGAAAAAGCCAAAGAAAGAAAGTCATAGAAAAAGAAAATAAGTTGCAACAAAAGAATGAAATTTGAAATAAGGCATTTCATGGTAGTTTGAAGAGTAAGGATTTTTGTTCCAAAAGTTCAAATATGCAAATTGGTGTCTTTCCATGATTATATTTTAGCTCACTTTGAGTTGATACTTCGCTACTCATGCATTTCACTTGTTAGCTCATTCATTCCATCTTAGCCTTTTCCAACATCACAACCTTAAGAAAGACCTCTTGATGCATTGAACACATTGTTAATGGAGATGTTGAGAATTTTAACAAGCCTATGGTAAGATAAAAACTAGTAGAGAGGAGAGAAAATCTAACCCTTGGAGTAGAGAGAAACACTTTAATCTGAGAGTCTCTCATTTCACTTGTAATGAGAAGCATTTTTTCTTGTTCTTCATTGAAAGTTTTGTGGGTTGGCTTGCTCAAGGGATAATACAACTAGTGCTTGGAAGGAGGGAATGAATTTTCCTTTGCCCGAATTTTATATTTGATATCCTCAGGTCCAGAGTGTTTTGCAATTAATGAAAAAAATTAAAAAAAAAAATTCAGGGAGTTGGTATGCAAAAGTGGCAAGACTCTTTGTGAAAAGCGCCATAGCGGATTTGAATAACTTGGTTGAAGGGTATTTCAGACATTTTGTCAAGATTTCATATTTATAATGTGGGACCGGGTCCTTCGTGGTGATTTTACTTATTCAAATGATCTTTATATAATTTTAGTAATTAGGGCGTTTTTATTTGTTATTTCCCTAAAATATAATCTGAATGACTTATTCCTGGCTGCCGGTGATGGTTGAATTTGTCATCCTTTTAATGCCTCGCAAGTTCGCATTCTCTTGTTCGCCGTTTCGCCCTAGCAGGCACGCCCTCTCCCTGTCTCCTATGGTACTCGGCCACTCTCAGCCGCTCGACAGATCGGCCACTCAGTCACCAGCACCTCGTTGTCACTCTTCACATCTCTCTTAGTTTGTGGATGAACAACGCGGATTTCCCCTCTCAACTCTTAGCGTCTCGTCTCTTTCGTCTCAGCTTGTTCTTCATTCTCCTTCTTCAGCTTGTTGGTTTCGATCATCCTTTTCGGTCCATCCTTGTTCTTCAGCTCCTTACCAGCTTAGATTTAGTTTAGTTGAGCTCCTTCCTTAGCGAGCAAATATGCAAATGCAATATCCGGTCTGTTTATTTCCTTTGATTCCTTCAGTGAAAACGTTGGAAATATTGATTGGATATTCTCTGGAACTTATTTTTTTTTGTCTCTGTTTGTACTGGCCTTGCTAAACTCCGTTAGTTTGCGGTGATGGGGAGCATTTAATAGCATTGGGTTTGAAGGTTGTCAATCTCTGTTAGCGAGAAGGAATGGCAGAAACAAAACGGGGATCAGTTTATTAATTAAACATGGTGAAAGAATGATCTTTGTGTATCTTTTGTTTCTCTTTCCATTTCTGAAGATATTGATTAGTTTTATATGGAAAATGTTAGACTCGGGCCTCTCACCATGACATGTTCGGTGGTAAGCAATGATAATCTTTCTGCTCTAGCAAAAAGCGCCTTATCAAGTGAAACCTCTACAGCTACTTTGGCTGTGCCTCCAATACATCCAGATGAACACTCTCTACATTCTGTAATGAGGCAATCTAAAGTAGAAAATGCATCGAAAGAGAAGAATATGCATGAAAATGCCTCAGGCAATTCTCAGATCATGACAAGTGTAGAAGTAAGGCTTAGAAAGAAAAGAAAGAGGAAAAGGCAAAAGAAAGGACATGGTGCTATTCAAAGCAATGGTAATCGTTTTGCTGTACCAAAAGATGCCTTTTCGACTGAAACCTTCACTGCTGCCTCAGTTATGCCACCAATACATCCAGATAAACAGTCTATAGATTCTGTAATGAGGCAATCTCAGGTTGAAAATGCATCAAAAGAAAAGAATGTGCATGAAAATGCCTCAGACAAATCTCAGATCATGACAAGTGTAGAAGTAAGCTTTAGAAATAAAAGAAAGATGAAAAGGCAAAAGAAAGGACATGATGCTATTGAAAGCAATGATGATCTTTCTCCTGCACCAAAAGATGCATTTTATACGGAAACCTTTACTGCTGCTTTGGCTGTGCCACCAACACATCCAGATGAACACCCTTTGGATTTAGTGATGAGGCAAGGTCAGGTTGACAATGGATCAAAAGAAAAGAATGTGCCTGAAAATTCCTCAGAGAAATATCAGGGTGTGACAAGTGCAGAAGTAAGCTTTAGAAAGAAAAGAAAGAGGAAAAGGAAAAAGAAAGTACATGATGCTATTGAAAGCAATGGTAATCTTTCTGCTCTACCAAAATATGCCTTTTCGACTGAAACCTCTACTGCTGCTTTGGCTGTGCCTCCAAGACATCCTGATGAACACTTTCTAAATTCTGTAATGAGGCAATCTCAGGTTGACAATGCACCAAAAGAGAAGAATGCATAGAAAGAAAAGAAAGAAAAGATGGAAGAAGATATGGAAGAAGATGCAAAAGAAAGAAGATGATGCCATTGAAAGCAACGGTAATATTTCTGCTGTAGCAAGCAACAATAATCTTTCTGCTGTACCAAAAGACGCCTTTTCGATCGAAACCTTCAGTGCTGCTTTGGTTGTGCCTCCAACACATCCAAATGAACACTCTGGATTCAGTAATGAGGCAAGGTCAGGTTGACAATGCGTCAAAAGTGAGGAATGTGTCTGAAAACTCCTCAGAGAAATCTCAGATTGTGACAAGTGCAGAAGTGAGCTTAAGAAAGAAAAGAAGGAGAAAGATGCAAAAGAAAGGACTTGATGCTACTAAAAGCAATGATAATCTCTCTGCTGTACAAGTAGATGTCTTTCTAACTGAAACCTCTACAGGTGCTTTGGCTGTGCCTCCGACACATCCTGATGAACACTGTCCAGATTCTGTATTGTGGCAAGCTCAGGTTGAAAATGCATCAAAAGTGAAGCGTGTGAAGAATAGAGGCAAGAGGAGGCGAAAGAAAGGATGTGATGCTAGGGTAAACAACAATAATCTTTCTGCTGTTCGAAAAGACTTGACAACTGCTATGGTTATGCCTCCAACACATCCGTTTCAACACTTTGTGGATCCATTAATGAGGCAATTTCTGGCTGAAAATGAAGGAAAGAAGAATTATATGCTTCAACATGTTACAGATAAAAATGTTCATCTTTTTGGTGTTCTGAAAGATCACGCATCACTGGAAACTTGTACACCTATTTTGGATCTGCTTCCTCTACATTCTGGTCAATACTCCATAACCTCAGTCAGTGAGCCTGATCATTCTAAAGTATCACATTTTTCTCTTGGTAGAGCCATATCAAGCTGCTCAAAAAAGAAGCTTCTTGTACTTGATCTTAATGGGCTGCTCGCTGACTTTGTCTATGGTGCTCGTGAGGGATATGAACCTTACAGAATGATTCACAACAAAGCAGGTCATGATCATCAAATATGTAGTCTCCTCGCATCTTTGGCCTTCATATCGATCTGCATCTTCATTTGATTGACTGCTTTGTTGTTTGCTTTCTGCAGTTTTCAAGAGGCCTTTTTGTGATGATTTTCTGCAGTTCTGTTTTGATAAATTTCATGTTGGTATTTGGTCATCAAGAACACGGTATTTATCAATCTATGAATGACGCAATCTTATTACTTTTAATTTTAATTTTAATTGTTTATTCTATGTAATTTTAAGAGGCGACAATACATGTGAGTGAGTGGTGTTTATTGGTTGGAAGCGGATTAGTTTTTAGACAACTGAAGTGTTTAGTGGTTTCAACGTCCCTGACTTGCCATTCCACTGACGGACTTTATATAAAAGTGAGCATTGTACTTGCAGGTTGTTGATTTTTATTTTGGTGAAGAGGTTGTCGTTGATTTCAGTGCTTTCATATCTTTTCTATCTCTTCTCTCTTCTCTGGTAAATGCATGCATATTATGTGTTGCAGGAAAAACCTTGATGATGCAATCAATCTTCTTCTGGGGGTTTCAGCATCCAAACTGCTTTTTGCCTGGGTAAAATATTCTTTAGTTTCCAGCAGATGATTTATGGTCACATTAATCACTTAATCAAATTGTAGAGAAGTTTACTCAATATATTCCTTGGATGCATCTTAATCTCATGTATTCGTGGTTTTACTGTTTCTACTTTAATGGTCCTTTGTTGATCCAGCGGGTTGTTTAGTGTTTACTTCCTTACTAAGATTCCTTTTTTGTCTCTGATGCTGTCAATGATGGTAAATCTTCCTCATGAACGTATTTACTTTCTCCTGATCCTCGTTTCCTTTGTGTCTTTTTGGTGTATCTCTTCTGTCAAATATTGTCAACCGAACTTGTTAGTGTGCATTTTTACTTTTGCGGTTCGAAGATCGATTTTTCCTTTTAGTTTTATGGGGGGAAAAATACTTTGCTGTTAAATGACAGTCGAATTGCTCACCTATAATCAAGAGCGTATTAGAAGAATATAAAACATCATTTCTTGGTTCAGACCCTGACCTGAAGGAAAAGGCAGAACAAGACTCTTGATTTGCAGTCGGCTCTATTGTGCATTTTTTTTTTTTATTTGTTTGTTTGCATTTGTATTAATGTCTGGTGCTCTTTTGATTGATTTTTACCATTTAATTTTTCCTAGATCTTTACTACTACAACGTATTATACTTGTGCAGCCAAGATGATTTGTTTTTATATTATTTTGCGGACCAGTTTCCATTTAGTTTACTGTTCCTTCTATTACTACAAAGTAGAAGCAAGCTGGTAATTCTGGTTGATAACTCTATATTCCCTCAAGCTGTATCAATTTTATTTCTGGGCTACCTAGGTATTTGTTGAATATTTTAAAAATTTACTGTTGTATGGTCAAATAAATCTTGTTAAAGATGTAGCTTCCTTTGTCTACTTCGCGGATGAGATGGAGCTGGTTAAATATGATTATTGTTGGGAATTATTCAGTTTTAGATAGAGTTTTAGCCTGCTGAGTTTTGCTATGATTGGTTTTTGTAGGATCAAAGTCATTGTACTTGCACAAAATTCAAGACCATCGAGGACGAACACAAGCCCCTTATGTTGAAGGAACTTGGGAAGTTGTGGGAAAAGGCTAGACCTAGTCTTCGGTGGAAGAAGGGAGAGTTCAACGAGACAAACACTTTGTTGGTGGATGACTCCCCTTACAAAGCGATACGGAATCCAGTAAGCTGCTCTATGATTTCCTTCCGTAAAATAATACTTAATCTTTTTGAATATCATATCGCTCTTTCTGCTGATGTGTTTCTCTCCACTTATACCAATTATATCCAAGATGCACACAGCAATATTTCCTTATTCTTACCGGTACAGCGACACCGATGACATATCATTAGGTGAGACTGACCTCTTTAATCCTCTCCTCCTTCAAATTATCTTACTCCCACGGATTGCTGTTGCAGTATGCACACTCTTTTCTGAATAATAAATGCTTTAAACATCATTGATATGCTGCTAAGATTGATTGTGTTGTCCTAATGATTGTCATCTTGGGATCATATTGTATATTTCCCTGCCAACCATTGCGATCTAGAATTCCTGATAACTTGGATGATCTTTTCTGTTAACTGCTTTTTAAGGATACGTTGAACTGACATTTGAATCTCTTCCCAAGTCTTCTCTTTTGTGCTATTTTCAAGTTTCCTTCAGTTTGAAGGAACTTGGAACGGCAAGTTTTCCTTGGACACGTGGAAGAAAAATATTTACTTAACCACTCTTCTTTTCTGCTCTTCCTTCCGTTGGGATTCCTTCCATTCTCGTTTCCTCTGGATTTTCAAACTTCAAACATATTCACACCTATTCCATTTCTGTTAGTGTAGGACCTGGAGGTGATCTTCGCGTTTATCTGGAAGGATTGGCTATGGCCGAGAATGTTCAGGAATATGTGGCTTCTCACCCATTTGGTCAACCACCAATAACCGAATCAAGCCCATATTGGAATTTTTATTGTTTAGTTAGAAATCAAGCTTAGTGGTGAAACAAAGAATCAGAAAAAAGGGGTCCTCGCCGGGTGAGACCAGTAAATTACTCACTCTCCTGCCATAACGATGAATTGGTGGGCTTTCAGATAATTAATGGGACCCTGAGAATATTAGGATGCTGATGTTAATGGCAACAAAATAACCAACTCTTGATTCTGACACTTCGACTGACAGATGGGTTAATCCCAGAAAGCTCTCCACCATGCGGACCCGTGGGCCTCTTGACACTGCGATCCTGCCCACCACACCTCCTACGAGCTTTCTTGTGTTTTTCCTGCATATGGAGATGGTGAGGGAGAAAACGGTGTGGTTACGAATCATTAGTATGGGAAGGATCGTTTTTATTTTTATTTTTGCCAGATTATGGGAAGGATCCAAACACCTTATTTTTCACGAAAGATGCAGAAGAGCTAAGGAAGAATTGCAATGAAGGATGCCGAGGAGTTAAGGGACAATCGTAATGAAGTATCGAAGGAAGGTATTAAAAATCTTTGATAACAGAGTAGTTTGTAATGACAAGTTTTATGTTGGTTAGTAAACGATAACTGTTCACTTGTATTTGAAATGTATTTGTAATTTTTTTTTTTCTTGGGACTTCATTGTAGTGTTTTCAAGAGTTAAAGCACTTAATACTAACAACTTATTTGCCTAACAGGACAACACGTGTTAAAGGCATGCTTGCACATAAAAAATGCGCATCCTAACTACTATTTAGGGATGTTATAGAATAATGTGCTGCGAATAAGTTGAGAACAGCGAAAAGGTACAAGAGCTCACCTCAAGTAAATTTTAGCTTTAGCAGCCAAGCTTTCAACGGAGTCACTTGAGTGAAAGGATTAGGGTATTACCACGAGAAGGTATAGGTTACTTCGCTACGGGGCCTATTTTACCATTGAGAATCTTTGTTTCCCACCTCCCAAAGGGTACCCTATTTCTTAGGTCTCTGACCGTTGCTGCTTCTGCTATGGTAGAGGATGGCGGAAAAGAGACCAAGGCCTTCACTTGTCCCATCCTCCTGATTAGAAAATGTCACACATCCTTTATTATCTTATTATATAATAATTGGAACCATTTAGAATCATTATACAAGCGTTAAGTGTGAGAAAATTTTAATTTCACAATTTTCATTTTCGGATTTCCGTATACTATTCACAGCAATTTGGCTAATTTTGAAAATTTATAACTAATTGTAGAAAAATCGAAATGGGATGGTTCTAAATTCTATGAAAAGCTCTTGACATGCTCTTTAAAGAAAAAATACTTATTAGTATCCAGATCTCATGCATCAATCGCAAATTTCACTCAAAGTAGTATTGTTCATTTGGTTATTTTTCAATTTTTTACAATTTATGCCTAACTTTGGAAGGGCATAACTTTCTGTACAAAACTTCAAATTTAATGAATTACCACTTGTTTTAAAGCTAAATATGAGATCTATAAGCATGTTAAATTTTAGATCCGGATTCATCCAATTGCTCAAAATCACGTCAGTCAAACTTTGCTCCTAAAAAGTCAACTTTTATCCCTTTTCTCATACCATTCTTGCCTTTTCTTTTTCTTTCCTTTCATCTAGTTTTTCTCAACCATATGGCATGTGCTCACACATAATCTTTGGCTTATTACTCATATGTACTTATCCTTAAACATTGGCATAATAATTCAATATGGTTTACAACCATACATGACAACATATAATTACAAAACATCGTTTCAACAACATAAACTTCCTCATCCCCCAAGTGAACTCTTTTCCTTTCTCCTTGCCCTTAATGACACCACCTGGGATTTCTTTTACTGTTTACGCACTGAGGAGAGTGAGATTTCATTAAAATCTTAGTAGCAATGAATTACAATCATCATGTAAATCAAGCAAGTATAATGTGACATTTATAAAACATCAAAGCATCCTCAAGTCACATAAAATCATATTTTGCATCATACCAACACTTACACATTAACATGTTTCTATGAATTTGCCGATAGCACAATCAAATGTCATAAAGTCAACCATTATCACCACATAATTTCTTGATTCAAGCAATCAACATAGTCACATTAAACAAGTAAGATAAACAATCAAATTATAATTCAGTGCTACCTCTTAATCCTTGATGCAATTCGGCCTCATTATGGGAATTATGCTCTCCTTGAATTTCCTCCACAAAACCTATCAATTCAAATGTAATTCCAAGCCACATTAACAATCATTCAACTTAAATACAACACTTAACCTTAAACTTTCTTAATTCCCCCCTTTTCTTTGATTTTTAACATAATTATTCCCTCTTGATTTCCATCAATCTCTTGGTCCATTCCTACACAATTTTTCATGTATCCAAATATCTAATCAGATTTATAAAAATCACACTCCTTTCTTTTCAGTTAAGCTTGGCTGAATATGGGATATTATGTTCCAAAAATTCTATTTTTGATTCCAATGATTTTAAACACTTCCTTAGTATTTTCCTACACAAAAATACCTTTTGAATCCATTAGAATCATCAAAACGCATCAAAATAAGCTCCTACGCTAAGAACAAGTCATGGCCAAATTACCCCCTTAGGAAACCTATCTTGATTTTCTTCAAAAAAATCAACCCAAACATCAATTAAACATGAAGATTCCAACTCAATTTTAAGGCTTATATCCTTCCCTAAGACATATACATATTAACTGAAAATGGACAGCACCTTAGCCTTAGGTTACAACTTGAAATTCCAACCAAAATAAACTTTAAACTCAACCAAAGCAAAGCTCAAACTTACCTCAATCAATCCTTGACTAAAGCTTGATGATTTGTTGTCCAAAAACACTTATCAAATTCAATCTCTAGCTCAAGAAATAAAATGGGCAGCACTTCCCCTTGTTTTAATAATTTTCTACCTATTTTTTGGTATTTTGAGGAGGTATTTATAGAGAAATAAATCTGGCCTCTCCCCTTGATCAATGGCCGAAATTTATCCAGCAAAAGTGGCCATGTGGCTGCCATCCAAGCCTTAAATTCTTAGATCATGCCAAGTGTCCTGTCTCCAGAATTTTCTTACCGGTATTTATGTAAAAATTGAATTTTATTAATATTTAATAAAGGGTCCAGATTATTCACGAAATTGGGCTTAATTTAGGCCCAATGTGGGCCCCAAAAATGGTTTGGACTGACCCAAAAAGATGGCCCACAAACCAAATCACAATCCCAAACCATTCCGAAACTTTTTCAGTTACTATTCACTTGTAACATCTCATAATTTTTCTCTCAGCTTTCAAAAATTTATTTCTCTCTATGATAATTCACCTTTTAATATAAGAACGTGATCTGAAAATTTTTAGAATTTTTGACCACCTTTAGGTATTTATTTTGAATTTTTCCCAATTAGGCCTCTATCGGTGTAACTATGGGAAAATAAATTTTCTAAAATTAATTTCGGGATTTACAAGGCCTAAAACCAATTTTATAAATTTTAAAAAATATTTAGATGATTTTTTCACATTTTCTTCCAAAATTATTGAGGCCTCTAGCTATGTAAAATAATTATTTTCCCTCAATTTTTCATTATTTTTTCGAAAAACCTCCGTATTTGAGAAATTCCATAAAAATTCCTTTTTCCATAACTTTCACCTTTAGGGCCTCCATCAAGGTTCCAAACCTCTAATTCACCAATTTTCCATTTTTAGGGAATTTTCTAAAATTTTTCTCAATTTTCCCATTTTGCCCTTCCTCGACTAGTAAGTTTGAAAATGCCGGTCGGGACCTTATCGGGGTTTTATATTAAAATTTTTTTCATCTCCCTGTATAGTTTCTAATTAGCTCTCAACCAAATTTTTTCATCCCTCCTGTCAATGCTAAATTCAGTGGGATATGACATTTCCGGGTCAAACCTCTATTCTTATTTTTAATGAGAGGTTAACTGGGGAGAATATCCCTATTTATATTCCATTTGGCCTCTTCAACTTCTCATTATACCTCATAGCCATGTTTCAATCCTAGAATTCACACTCACATAGTTCTCTCTTTCTTACTCTTCTGTTATTTACACGAGCATAGCCTTTACTTTCATGTATTTGGTCATCACTGCTCGCATTCTTCCTATACTTTAGGCCCATTCTCTCATAATGATGTCATGATAGTGTACCCGTCTTCATGGTATTTTAGTATACCATGTCATTTCAAGTTCCTTTAATACTGCCTTTATCGAGTCTTTTCGACATACTCCACCTTCCTCTTTTTTACCTTAAGGGCCTATCTTCTTTCTTTTACATTCTTATTTCACATATAGATTGCCTGAATGCATAACCTTTAGGACTTATAGCCTGTAGTTTCCATAATTCTTACTTTCCTCACTTTCCTTTGCTGACTAGAATAGAATTAAGCTCAGCTTATTCAACAATAATAGTGTCTATGGAAAAGTCAAGGGTACTCTCTCTGCATTAAGCAACCACAGGAGGTTTCCCCCTCTCAGACTCATTCTTGGTCATCTCATTCTCCCCCTCCAAAGAGACACTACCCTCATAGCTCAATAACCTTCCGTTAGGCTTGGTCTACTGTGACCTTGAGAGCTACCCTGCTTTCCCATAAGACTCTTCAGGATCTACTATGACCCTAGATTCCTTCCTATTCTGCCCAAGCCATGTTCTACTCTTTAGGAGCGTTTAGACTAGTGGACTGAGTTAGAGAATAAGTCACCTATCCTCAGTTGGTGACTTAACCGATCATTCATATCGTATGGGTATGATTGGCAAATGGACTTTACTAGGAAATATTATTATGTGATGTTCACTAACATTAGAGCAGTGACCTCTAGTGTGTTTAAAGTATATTGTCTGGTGTATTTATTACCGTGCTATTTCTAATTCGCTGTGCATACCATCTTATGATATTGATTTGAAAACTGGTCTGAATTGATTTTAATTTCATGGTGTTCTCCTTGACTGCACAAATTTGAAACTTAAACTTTCCCCTCTCAAGGAACTTGTCTCTTGCCTAGGGTAAGATTGAATTTCACTAGTGAGGCCTAAATAGAGAAATCATTGAGAAAGGATTCTTAAAGGTATATGATAACTCTCATTGTAGGAAGAGGTAACAGTGAAGGTAGAGGATATACTATTGATAAGGGAATATTGGGAGAAGTTCCCAAGAGAGATTAATGAACTCCTACTAGAACAAGAAATAAGAAGTGTGGTGGAAGTAGTGCTAAAGATAAGTCAAATTTAAAGACTCCTTATTGTATGACCATAATGAAATGGTTGAGAATGTAGTAGGCCCACTAGAAGTAAGAGTCTATACCTTGGTAAGGAAACTAATTGACAAGTTAAACCTCAAGTAATTGTTGTAACCTCAAAAGAGGCAAGGTAACAGGACAAAGTGTTTGAGGTTTGTCAAATCCTTGAATAATGGTAGAAAACCCTAAGGGATAGAAGCTAAGAGGGACTAATGTTTAATTGAGAATTAACAATAAGTTAGATGCCT